CCGAGTCCCTCTCCCCCCGCCAGCTCCTCAAGGCGCCATCGTGACCGCGGATTTATGCTTGCTGAGGGATCGGTCGGAGGCGCCCTTTGCCCGCGGTCGCCTCGCCGCCCTCCTACCCGCGGCCGCCGACTGTGGTTGAATATTCGCCGCGGCTCTTTGCACATGTGCTGTGCCCACAGCTTCTCGCCCCCGTTGCCTTATCTAGTGCGCTCTGCTGGCTTCTGCTTCCGAGCTCGGGTGTCAGACGACACCCCTTCGTGGGACCCGCCTCCATGCTGGACTGCGCGGCTCGAATGCTTGCGATGGCACTGCGCTTTGCCTACGCGTATCGTTTTTTTCTCTCCGTGTGCGTGAATGATGTGCTTCTTGGGTGGTCCCTGCCGGCCGCGAACGCGATCGCCGGGTCCTGCTCGCCAGTGACTCCGCCACTCGGGCTGCGGCTTTTCGCCGGTGTGGGTTTGCGGATCCCCCGAGTGCCGTTCAGGTGGTCATGGCGTGTTGATGAAGGCCGCGTGTTCGCAACTGTGTATGTTGTGTGGTGGCTTTCCTGCCGCCGACCGATACGGTGGCCTGACCGAGCGTGCGCTTGTCGATCGTGGAACTCGCTCTCCTCTCTCTCTGTGAGCTCTCTCTCGCGCAGACCCTGACCACCCTTGCACTAGAATCGATCGCCGCGGCCCGGCTGCCGAGCGCCACCGGACCGGCGCCGGCGCCCTGCCCGGTACGCGCCGGCTCCGCGCGCTTTCGTCGAGTCCGCGCGCCATTGGTCGTACCTTGTGGCGGCCACCCGGGAGCTCCTTCTCGGATTGGCGTGGCTCAACGAGCAGCGATCCCGCATCCCTGCTGTTGCCGCTCGCCGGCCCCTTCTGGCCACGCTGTTCTGCGCTGGCCGTGAGCGCCCTCCCGCTCTGTGCAGGCGCCCTCGCCTCGCTCCAGTCTGCCGCGGATGTACGGCGACTATTCCCTGCCTGCAAGAGCCCTGATCTCACTCGTCGCGTCGGTCGCTCGCGAGGTCAGGTGTCGCCCGTGTCCAATGCAACGCTCATGACTCTGGCCGGGCGAGGCGCGGCGCCGTCGCCGCGTATTGCGCCCCGCCGCCTCCACGGTCCCTATCCCTTCCCCTCTCACGCCCGCGCATTCGCTACTCTTTCCTTCCCGCAGCGCCGACCCATATGTACTCTCCCGCGTCACCTCGGCCGTCGCTGCCTAGGCGAGCGATCGATGACTGTTTAGCTGCGCTGCTCGTCATTGTCCTCCCGTCCTGCGCCGACCTCGACGGACGCAGCTGCGTCATCCGACACCACCCCCTCTCGCCACCGACGGCTTAGCGGGCCGCCCCCATCCTCCAGTTCGAGCATCGCAGTACTTGCCGGGCACGATTCTTTGCCCCAATCATAGTCGACGTCCCGCTCCGGGCCGCTCCCAACATGGCCGCCCGCCACGGGCCGACTATTGTCGCTCGGCTCTGAGGAGCATGAACATCCGCGCAACGCCGGGCCGCGGCCTCGGCCACGCGCCCTCCTGCCTGCAGCCCCGCGGCGGCAAAGTCAAAATCTTCGGACTGACGAGATGCTGGGCTCTGGGGGGCGCACTCGACTCCACTCAACCTGTTTGTCGCGTGCATCGGGGTGCTTCGAGGTCATTCTTTTCATCTCCATGTTTGCTTCCATTTTTGGCGAGTCAAAACTCCGGGCACTGTAACTACGGCCTCGCGAGGTACCGTTCCAGGCAACGTTTCCCACGTCCCCTGTTGCTATCGAAGGCAAGATCGTGTACCCTTCATCACACTCTCAATATACCAGGAAAACCAAGCGCGGTGCACAATTACCACCTTTAACCCAAGCACCGCAGGGAAGATTTTCAAGTACCGCGCGCTTCTTTTCGACTAGATCTCCAGTTCACCAGCCCAAGAAATCCCAGTCCTCTATCCGACTATACTTCCCCGCGCAGGCTTCGATCTCAATGCCACGGAACTTACCACTCGGCCACGTCAGGCCTCAACCAATCTGCCTCTCAAGAACTCAACAGCTGCACAGCCACCAGTCAAACATCCGTGTCCCCGTCTACCAGGAATTAAGATCGCACACGAGTGTAGCTGCACAGTGGACCGTCAGCACGATCTATCTCTATCCTGTCTCCGAGTGCTGCTACTGTTCGACGGGCACTCGTCCTTGTAACCACCCGGTAGTGCACTCCAGCGCTTGCCGATTCCGCTCTCTGGCTGAGCCCCGGTGCGCATGTCTAAGTTCGAGCCTCGCCGCGACCAGGCTTCCCATCGAGCGGTCTCTCAATCGCTCCTTAGCACGGCTGGTGTTGAAACTCCCGTGATTAGCTTGAGCCACTGGAGTCGCCCTCGCTCAGGTGCGCTATAACTGCTTGGCCCAGTTCAGCTGCCTACAGTTTCGCCTGTTCTAGACGCTTTCGATTATCGCTCAGCCGCTACGAGCAAGGCGCGAAAGGCGTTAAATCACCACGCTACGGTAGCAAAGACAATGTCTCTTCTATCTCGTGACAATTACGCCCAAACAACTGTCATTCGCTGAGCCGTCTCGTTCTGGGGATAATCTTTCAGGAACGCCACAAAATTTATTTTCGCTTATTGTCGATTCAATGACTTAAACCTGGCCCCGGCCACTCAGGCACCCTGCCGCCACCATTCAATCCCACCACCTCACCTCTAACTCTCGGCATGCTATTACTCAACAGCAATTCACGTTATATAGGTTAGAACTAACTTGTCTGCTCCCCAGCTAGGTAGATGAACAGACAGTAGCCAACTCGAGCCTCATTTCTGTGAGACACCATGAGCTAGTTACCGCCGAAAATATTACTTGACGCCCCGCGCGCCTGGCCCGCGACAATTAGCAAGACCAGCTGCGAACTGTCTGGCGAAGCCTGCGTAGACTGTCACAACAAGTGCTCACATCACTTTTCATAAGACTCACAAACGACCTTGCGATTTCAAAGCAATCCTCTATTAGCAAATTTGGGGACGCGTATGGGAGCGCGTAAAGACAAGTTTGATTTTTCGCACTCGTCGGCACAACCCCCCCCCTCCGCGACCCCCCCCCCCAGACATCGCTTCCCACCTCGCCGCTTGCAGCGCCTTGAAGCATACTTCCCGCAGATGTCACGGTCGATTTTCACGAGCATTTTTCACGCAGCGATTGCCTTCATAGAACATCCGTGCCAACGCAGTCGCGAGGCGGCGCCGTTCTGCAGCGCGGTCTGGCGCCATATTACACGCCCTTAAGCAGCCAAATCACTCTAGCCGCCAACCGCCACGCGCGTCGCGCCGCGTGTCGTTGCGCAGAGACGGTGAACACGTTCGACCAATCTTTGCGGTCCTCTGCCCAGCGCACGCGGCACACAAATCGCAGTGTCTGCGCTAGCGCGTTTAAAACGCAACGACAAGCGCACCGCGCAACAACGGCTGCCGCCGGCCTTACTACGCTGTCTCCGTTAACCCCCTTATACTTGACACAGCTCTCTTTATCGCGCCGGAAGCATAGCCCGCTAGTGTTATGATACTTACACCGATACGATGTACCGACGAAACATGAATGGAAAACACGACCCCAGAATATTCGACGCATTTTAATTTCGACAATCAAATATTATGTTCCTTATTTGTATCTAATTTCTACATGCACACCGTCTTAGACATTCATACTGTGTTCTGCCCAAAGGATCCCTGCAAGTGCCCCGAAACTGTACTAACGATACACCTGCGGAGCAAAAGAAGATTTAAAAGTGCGTTGTAGTACAACAACGCCGGATCTTACGTACGTAGGCACGTCAAACATCGCAAGGTAGAACCGAAATAAGACTGGCCAACAGCTAAATCCCCCACCTCTATCCGCCCCCACCCCCCCCCACCCTGACCAAAAACGTCCCCACGTTCCCCCCACCCTTCTCACTACCGCCACTCCCCCCCTCTTATACTTTATTTCAATTTACTCAAAAACCTCGTAGCTCCGACCGAAACAGAACAGGAAATTCACCTCCGCCCCNATGAATTACTTGCGTCTCGATATTTAATTATACGTATTGGCGCTGCTAAGGTTGGATTAGCCACTCTTGTGGCACAATTGGCAGTGCTGTACTCCGCATACAGTGCTCAAACACATAAAACAGGTGTCGATTACATAGAGTCTACCACAAGTAAACTGCCATAATAACAAGTAAACTTCATTATCCCACAACCAATAGCGTGGGCCTTATGCGTACACGCGACACACTGACATATTAGAGACATGCTAATACATAATGACAGTGTCATTCTAGAACCACGACCAGCGTCAGGGAGATGCGTAACAATGCCACCGCATGCGTGTTAAGAGATGTCACTACTTTAAAAAACGCGATTACATTGAGATTGGCTAATTGTGCTGAGATTAAACAACTCTCGACAAATCCGTACGGTTATGTACATTTATTTGAGTTATGGCAATTCACGTTCGTAGTCCCTAAGCCTTATGCCTTAAACTTGATTTGATGCGTTCCAGATACGTCATAAATGGCGTTCACCAAAAAAATGTTTACCAAGGTGATCATGTTACAGTGTGAATAATAACGTATAATAATATCTCACTGCACTCCACTGAAATTCCAGCTCTACATCTCTCCAAAGGCATAGGTCATCTGCTCAGGCACAATGAAATTATATCATGATAATGCGCGCACAATATCTTACACAGTCAGTTATAGTACTACCTGGCCACCAGTTGTATGTCGCAAATACATTATAGAAAAACATAATCAAACAATATATTAGGCCGACTCGTATTAGACGGCAAGCCATTACATTTACGTAGATTTAAGTCCCCTTTAAAACCCTGATTAACACACGCACACACACCATCTAAATCATACCACTGTATAACAGATTGTCGACCTAGAATTCGTGCGGATTTTCATTCCTAGGTTTCGCTTCACTGATAGCATGGTGGATACAATCAAATACAACAAGATAACGCATCAGTTTCTGTTTGCCGGCCCATTGCTCTGCCAATATTCCGAGATGCTACAGAACTGCAGTGCATGGGTATTTGAAGGCATGCACACCACACGAAACTCCGCTACTCACCTGGAACACAAATCCACATAGGCCAGATGCAATCTCACTAACACGTTGATGATGGACGCTATTAAACAAATATATATGTGTATATACTTATATATATGCTAAGCACTAAAGCACTAAAACCAAGGAATGTGTAAGGCACAAGTTAAAGCAATAGTTTGCTTCAGAAATAAACAGTCAATAAGCCTAAAATGAATAAAATACCATAGTGTTACAAAACCATTAAAACGTCTTATGCAAGTAGTTAATAATAAAAAACGACATTAAAACTACAAACAAGTGCAAAGCTAAAACACCAACCAATCTATCTTCCACCAACTACACGCAACAAACCTGACACTGTGTTGCCACCTGTCGACAGGAAACGTAACTATACCGGGGTGAGTAGAACACAGGTGGTGGATTCCACAATCTAGAGATAACAGAGCCGTGGCTCATGAGTGTCACAACGATAACTGTCCGTAATCCCCGACCACATGCCGCTAGCGTGGCCTCCTCTTAGCCAGACAACAGGATCTGCGCAGGGTCCTTGTCGATAAGCCTCGCTCGCCACTCCGCACGAGCGATCGATGGACACCATCGCGTGCACGCACCCCCACCTAGGTGCCGCGCGCGCGAATCAATGTCCGATCCCTCCAGTTCCTGGGAACGCGCCGAGGTGCTGGTTCTTCACGTGCCTCGTGAGATGGTCGAGGCGGCTGAACGTGACCGAGCACAGCTCGCACCTCAGCTTGTTGACGACCGGCGGCGGCGGCACGGCGGCGGCCGCGACGGACGACGCGGCGGCGGCGATCGCGTTCAGCCCGACCGCGGCCTCGTTGGCGGCGGCGCACTTCCACTTGAGGGCGTCGCTGTGCACCTTCAGGTGCTCGTTGAGATGCTCGAGCTGCGGGAACGTCGTCGCGCAGAACGTGCACTTCCACTCCTTGTCGCGCATGTGCGTGCGCTTGTGCTTGTTCAGGTGGTCGGAGCGCGTGAACGCGAGGCTGCACATGTCGCAGCTCCACATCTTCTCGCCCGTGTGCGTGCGCTTGTGCTTGCTGAGGTGGTCGGAGCGCGTGAACGAGAGGCTGCACATGTCGCAGGCCCACAGCTTCTCGCCCGTGTGTATGCGCTTGTGCTTGTTCAGGTGGTCGGAGCGCGTGAACGCCTGCGTGCACTGGTTGCACGCGTACGGCTTCTCTCCCGTGTGCGTGATGATGTGCTTCTTGAGGTGGTCCTGCCGGGCGAACGCGATGTCGCAGTGCTCGCACTTGTGCGGCTTTTCGCCGGTGTGGTTGCGGAAGTGCCGCTTCAGGTGGTCCATGCGGGTGAAGCGCGTGTCGCACAGGTCGCACTTGTGTGGCTTCTCGCCGACGTTCAGGTGGCTGACGAGGTGCTTGTCGAGTGAACTCTTCCTCGTGAAGTCCACGTCGCAGACCTGACACTTGTAGAATGAGCCGGTGGCCGAGCCGGTGGCCGAGCCGCCGCCGCCGGACGCCGCCGCGTTGCCCGCACGCGCCGGCTCCGCCGCCTTCTCGATCGCGCCCTTGTCGTGCGGTGGCGTGCTCAACGGAGCATCCCGCACCTGCGTGCCGCTCCCGCCGGCGCCCTCTGCACGCTGGTTGTTGGCGTGGGCCTCCGCGTGCAGGCGCCTCGCCTCCTCCATCTGCCGCATGTACGGCATATCCTGCCTGAAGAGCCGATTCATCTCGGTCTGCGAGAGCATGTCGCCCGGGTGCCCCATGCACTGGCCGGCGGCGGCGCCTCGCGCCGCGTTCGCCGCGCGCGCGCCCATGTACTCTCGTGTCACCTCGCCGTCGGGAGCGATGATGTTTAGCTTGCTGTCGATGTGCGACGAGGAGGCAGCGCTCATCGCCATCTCGCACGACGGCTTGCGGCCGCCGTCCTCCAGCTTCGGCAGCGCGTACTTGGGCACCTTCTTCGCCAACTCATAGTCGCCGTCGCCCGGGCCGCCTCCCAACATGGCCGCCGCCACGGCCGACATGTCCGCTCTCTCCTGGGGATGAAACATGCGAACGCCGGCCGCGGCTGCGGCGGCTGCTGCAGCGGCGGCGACGTCGGGACTGACAAAGTACTTTGGGAACTGATACATGTTCTGGTAGTGATCGTGGTTGTTGAGGTCATTCATTTTCATCTCCATGTTTGCCTCCATTTTGCGATCAACCCGGGTGTACTACGGGGAGGTGACCGTTCAGGCAACGTTCAGTCCCCGTTATCGAAGGCAGATGTTACCTTATGTAACAAGCGTGCAATTACCGACTACCCAAGCGCCGAGATTTCTCAAACGCCTTTATTTTCATAGATCTCAGTTCACACAAGAAATCACGTCCGATATATCTCGCGCAGGCTTCGACTCAATGAGGAACCTTAACCACCGCCACCGTCAGGCCTCAACCCAATCTCTCTCAAAGAACTAAAGCCGCAAGCCACAAAATGTCTACAGGAATTAAGATCGCACACGATGTAGCTAGCACAGTGCGTCAGCACGTATCTATCTACCTGTCTCCAAGTGCTGCTACTGCTGCTGCTACTGCTGCTGCTGCTGCTGTTCGGCGGACTCGTCCTTGTAAACGTATTCAAGAGCGCTTGCGATCGTGCGCATGTCAGTCTCGATGCTGCGCGACCAGTTCTCGACGTCTCCAAGCTCCTTCAGCGCCTGGTTGAAACTCGTGATTAGCTTGAGCCACTGAGTCGCCTGGTGCGCAAACTGGTTGGCATTCAGCTGCAGCAGTTTCGCCTCCGTGTCTAGTCGCTTCTGATTTAGGTAGGCCTACGAGCAAAGGGGAAAAGTTAAATACAGTAGGTAGAAGACAATGCTTCTAATCCTGTGAATGCAACAACTGTCATTTCGGAGCTTCGTCGGGATAATCTTAGGGACGCACAAAATATTATTTTCGTTATTCGATTCAATGCTAAACTGCCACTCAGCCCACCCTGCCCACATTCCATACCACTATCTAACTTCGGCTGTATAACAGCAATCACTATATAGGTAGAACTACTTGTAGTGGTAATGACAGAACCACCTATTTCTGTGAGAAATGGCTAGTCTACGCAAAATATTATTGAGCGAAATTACAAACAGCTGCTGTCTGAAGTGCAGTGACTGTCAAAAGTGCTCAATCACTTTCAAAAACTCAAAAACTGCGATTTCAAAGCAATTCTATAGCAATTTGGGAGCGATTGGGAGCGGAAAGACAAGTTTGATTTCTTGCAACTCGTCGCAAGCGACCAGAATCGCTATGGGTTGCAGTTGAACATTCCCGCAGACGTAGTGATTTCACAGCAATTTTTACAGTTGCATGAAAAAATCACAGGTATGTGCTAGGCTTGCAGTGCTCGACAATAAGGAAAAAAATGTGGTTGTCCTGCGACGAACCCGCATCAAATCGCTGCCCCCCTCCCCCCCCCCCATCCCGCGGCTGTCCCGCCAACAATTTCTGTTGA